CCTGCTTGTGTTTCCTCTCTCGCTGTGTCTCTCTGTGTCAAATAAATAAATAAAATCTTAAAAAAATAAATAAAAAATTAAAAAAGTATGTTACCACTAAACTATAGTGTTAGTTTTATTTTATTCTGCAGTTTATTTCCTGAACTTCCTTGTTTCCTAGCAATTCTGTGAAGTATTTTAAGTTAGAAAAAACACTAAAAAGTGGATTTAGGAGACATTAAGTTTTTATTTTTAAATATCTGTACTATCTTGGTTAAATCATGACAGCTATAAGGGTTTTCATTTGCTCACCTGTAAACTCATGATTTTTATGTAGATTTCTAACACTTTATCCATATTTTGGGAGCTGCAGCCATATAGTAGAAAAAGCAGTTGACTAGAATCAGAAAAATTAGCTTGAAATATCAATTTACGAAGCTCTGAATATTGGAGAATGAGAAAGAGCTTTCAGAAATTTAACATGTAATAAATACAGAATATTTCTAAAAGTATTGGTAGACAATAAATATCAAGGATGTTTCCCAGAAAAAGAGAGAGAAAGAGGCAAACCAAGAAACAGATTCTTAACTATAGAGAACAAACTGATGGTTACCAGAGGGGAGGTGGGTGGGAGGATGGGTTAAATGGGTGATGGGGATTAAGGAGTGCACTTGCTGATAAGCACCAGGAGTTGTATGGAAGTGTTGAATCACTATATTGTACATCTGAAACTAATATTATACTATATGGTAACTAACTGGAATTTAAATAAAAACTTAAAGAAAAGAATGTTTCCTAGAAAGTTGGAAGGAAAATGACAAATAATCAGAAATTTTAGGAAAGAAAAGAAACTTAATGAATCAACCTAAGAGGTCCATTGCCTAACAGCAATTCCAAAGGGCAGCAGACAATGCAGAGATTGGCATTCTCAAAAAATAATTTAAGAAAATTTCCCATAATGGAGATAAATGATTCTCCTATTTGCAAGGCCCCTCAAGTACCCAGCATAAGGAAGAAATAAACAACAAACAAAAATGGACAAGCTACCGCAAAGCACATCAGAGTAAAACTTCTTTATTTTTGATGTTTTTTAAAGTTCTATTATGATGTGCTTTCTGGAGACAAGGCTCTGTTAACAAGGAGATAAACCAGAAAAGAGGGAGACATGAGATTTAGGAAATAGGAGATCTACCAAAAACAAGTGATGAAAGAAGTCCGAGGTCTAGAGAGAAACCATTCATTTTGGGATAAAAACATGGAGTATTCCATGAGGAAGATATCTGGAAAAACCTCAGGCCAGTGGAATGTTAGATAGGATTAAGCATTTAGGAAGTTTAGAAATGCAATTAACTGCAGAAAATAAACAATCTCATACAAAGAAAGAATAACATGTAATTGCAATTATAGTATTTTACTTGGCTCTGTAGTAGATTCACCTAGGAGAAATTTGCTTTGTCATGCCAATATAAACTGTTAATTTAACAAAGAATGTGCTAGCAAGAGAATGGGTAAAAGAAAATGTCTAAAACTGACAAATCAAGAATCATTTGTGGATGTATATTATTTAAAATAGAAAACTATCAGAAGACACATCTGAAAGAGAAAGAAAAGTCGTTAACGGATGCGGGTTCAAGGATAGGAAGGTGAATTAGGACCTCCTTGATTTTGTTTAAAGCTTTTGTCCTATTTGATTTTTTTTAGAAAATACGTGCATCAGTTAGTGTGATAATAATGGATCTAGGATAAGAATTAGCAGAGCCCTAAAATATCGGTGACCAGAACAGTGGTGTTACACAGGAGCATGGCTGAGCTATTTAATTTCTAACTGTGTGCTCAATTGTAGCTTATAGCCACAACCTCAACAACCTCTCATAACCTCTGTAATGTTGGAGAAAGTGTAATTAATTTGGGACTGTTTCTATCCTAGAGTACTGAGGCAGACATTAGGCACTGTTGCTTTTAATAATGGCCCCTTCCCAAGAGAGTGGTAATGAGGATTAAATGAGTTACTGTATGTAAAGTGTTCAGAAAATTGCACGGCATACATGAAGTGATAATAAGGGCTGGTTATTAGTATCAATACATACATTTGTAAAAATGCACATGCCATGATGGAAATTTTGTTTGATCTTAATTGTGAATCTATGTAATTAAGAATGTAGAGGGACAGAAGAATCACTGTCGCCATCAATTCATAGTTATTTGTCAAGATTTCAAAACATGAGGCAAAATATGTTTTGGGGGTTGCTATTCGAGTGCATGTGGGCAAACACACTAATTTGTCCAAGACTTTTTTTAATAAGAGAGCATATATTTTGTTTCCTTTTAAGCAGAATTATAACCAAACTTTACTTGGAAGTAGTATTAAGAAGTAGAAGACTCTATTATGCCCATTTGAAATGACTCTGGGATTTCTGATATTCCATGCCTAGATTTTAACTTAAATTGATACCTACATGAATCTGATAATTATTCAGTTTTAGGATTTTTAAATTTGCATGGAGCTTTGCTTCCATTATACTACTGTAAATACAGAAGTCTAATCCTTAAAACAGACCTATGGAGATAGGGGACATTATTTTATTTTTAGTATGTAAAATGGGGACA